CAATTCCTCTAAATTATATTATTCAGATGACTCAGTTCTGAAAGTTCTATTTCATGTAAAGTTCTTAGTTTCACATATGTTGGGCTTGTGAGGGCCAGAGGATAGAGGGTAGAGGAGAAAGAAGAAGGATCAGAAGGAAAAAAAAATTTTTTTAAAATACTTAGAATTCTGTTTCCTTCCTGCTTCTCTTCTCTTCCAGTAGATGGGGTTGTCTATCTTAATCTTGGGTCTCTATCCTCAGGGTGGTGTAGGTAACCAGGGTGAGAAGATTCGAGATTCGAGCCCCCCCCCCACCAACATTGTCTCCCTCTCCTGCCTGGAGCTTCCCAATCTTGATCTCTCTGTTTTGCTTCAGGTCCCAACTGCGGGACCTCTTGCCCCCAGACTCATGCCAGGTGGGCAGTGCCCTGGTAGCACTGTGCTCCCTGTTCAGCTGAAAGTGGTTTTTGTGCTGAGGAATCACAGCTGGGGAGGAGAGAAGGGGGAGGAAGCGGAAACCAGGTACCTGTTCAAAAGGAGGTCCCGCTGATAGCCACACCCACCAAAAAAATGTCAAGAAAGGTTTTCCAAGATGGAGTCCATCTGCTTCCAGCACTGGGGTGTCTAGTGAGGTGGGGAGAGCTGGGATGGCCTGTGCTATGGCTATATTACAGCTGTGTGGCCTGCATGGAAGCAGAGCAAAGCTGATTAGGTGGTTGTGCTACGTGGCTTGGGAGCCATGTGTGAACTAGAACCTCGGGCTTTGGGTCCGGGAGTCGGAAGTCTTACTGGAACACAGAGGCTCTGATTTCTGTGCAGGTGGTCGCAGCTCTGATGGTTTCTGTGAAAATCCGCTGTATAGGAGTCCTATCACACTCTCTGAGATGTTGTATTCCATCTAGGTGAGACCTTGTGCAGATGCCGCCTGACTGCTTTCTTGGTTTAATTCCACAGAGCAGCCAGAAACAGTACCTCCTCTATTCTGCCATCTTGGATCCCTAGCTTTCAATTTCTTTAAACAATGACTTGCATTTTTCACTATAGAAATCATTCACTTCATTGGTTTAATTTCCTTCTTGCATTTATTAGTATTAATATTAGTATCTAATGTGAATCTGATTTCTTCCTAGATTTCTCTATCAGGAAGATTATAATTGATGTATTAAAAAGGTTCTGATTTTTTCTATTTTGATTTTGTATCCTACAACCTTCCCAAATCCATTTGTTTGTTCTGACAGTGTTGGGGTAGAGACTTTATATATTTTTTACATATAAAGTTGTATCATCTGCAAGCAGGGATAATTTGACTACAATGCTCTTTATTTATTTTTCTTGTCTTTCAATCTTGCCAAGACTTCCAGTAGCACATTGAATAACAATGGTGAAAGTGAACATCTGTGTCTCATTTCTAATTTGAGAGGAAATAATTGTAACTTTTCCCCCACTCAGTTTGATCTCGGCTATTGGTTTATAATATATAGTCCTTATTGTACTGAGGCACATTCCTTCCCTATTTACTTGATGTTTTTGTCATGAAGGGAAGTTGAACTTTTTTGAATGTTTTTTTCTCCATTTATTTACACAATTATATGAATCATATTTATTTTGTCGATGCATTACATACATTGATTTGAAACATTCTTGTACCCATGGAATAAAGCCCATTTCCTCACAATATATAATATTTTTACGTGCTGTTAAATTTGGTTTTCTAGTATTTTGTAGAAAATTTTTGGATCTATATACATCAGTGATATTGGTGTGTATTTTTCTTTCTGTTTTTTTTTTTTTTTTGGTCAAGTATGTATCTGATTTTGGTATCAGTAATTCTTCCTCTTAGAATGAAATTAGAAGGGAGGATTTCTCTTTTTAAATACTTGGGAATAGTTTGAGAAGAACTGCATTAGTTATTCTTAAAAGTTTGATGAAATTCATCAGTGAGAACATCCAAAGTCTTTTCCTTTTAGAGAAACATTTTATTATTAATTCCATCTTGTGAATTTTTATTGATCTGTTCAGGATTTCTGTGTCCTCAACAATCAATTTGGTCTGTGTGTTCAGAAATGTAATCATTTTTTCTAGATTTTTCATTTTTTCCCAAGAACAGTTTGTGATAGACCTTAAATATCCTTTATATGTCTGTGGCTCTGTTGTGATGTCTCCTTTTTCATCACTAATTTTAAATATTTGTTTTTTCTCTTTTTATAGGTTAAGACTAACATCTTGATTGAGATATAATTTGCATACACTAAAATTTACCCTTTTATCACTCCATAATTTCTGGCATTAATTTTTTAATAGTAAAATATACAGAATGAAATTTTGATAATTTGGTCAATTTGTATTCTAAAATTCACTGACATTAATTGCATTCATTATGTTTTGCAGCCATAACCTCTATTTCAAAACCTTTTTCATCACCTCAAACAGAAATATTGTAATCATTAAGCATTAACATCCCATTCTCCCTTTCCCCAATCCTTCATAATCTCTAATCTACATTTTCTAACTTTCTTTGGGGCTTTATGAAATTACCTATTCTACTAGAGATGACTAGAAGCCTAGAAGATTTGTCTTTTTGTGTACTGCTTATTTTACTGAGCATAGTCTTGTCAAGACCCTTCATGCTATACCAGGTATCAGACTATATAGCTTTCCAAAACTGAATAATATTTAACTACATAGGCAATATTTTATTGGTATCCATTTATTTTATTTTTTTATTCTTTTATTGGTTGTTCAAAACATTACAAAGCTCTTGACATATCATATTTCATATATTAGAATCAAGTTGGTTATGAACTCCCAATTTTACCCCAAATACAGATTGCAGAATCACATCGGTTACACATCCACATTTTTACATAATGCCCTATTAGTAACTGTTGTATTCTGCTACCTTTCCTATCCTCTACTATCCCCCCCTCCCCTCCCATCTTCTCTCTCTACCCTACCTACTGTAATTCATTTCTCTCCTTGTTTATTTTCCCATTCCCCTCATGACCTTTTATATGTAATTTTGTATAACAATGAGGGTAAATTGCATGGTAATGGAGGGAGACCCTCCATTTATTTTTTGATGGACAGTTGGGTGTGCATAAGGTTCTTGTTAACAATACTGCAATAAACTTGCCAGTATCTATTTTAGTAGCCACTTTCAATTACTTGAGGTAAACACCTGGTAGTGAAACTCCTGAATCCTATACTAATTCTATTTCAAGCTTTCTTTTTTTCTGATTTTTTTATATCTTGTTTGTTAGTTGACTGTACCAACTCACCTTTACTTTCAATGCATAAGACTTCCAAAGTTGTGCACATTCTATTAAACATTTCTTGTTCTCCTTATATAATAATTTAATTTAATGCACAACTCAAGGAGTATCTAATTGTGGCTTTAATTTACATAATTATTTTAACAACAAATGATGTTGAGCATATCTGTATGTCCTTCTCTTGGCCACATACCCATTTTCTTCAGAGGAAAGAAGTGTCTATTGAAGTTCTGTGCCTATTTTTTTTTTTTGCATGTGATGGTTGTGTTTTTGTTGTTGAATACAGGAGTTCTTCTGTTATCTTCATTTAATTTGAAACATTTTCTGCCTTTCTGTGGGCTCTTTTAACTCTCCAATCGATTTTGGCTATTTTATGTGTATGGAAGTGATAAGTACCCAAGTCACTCATTACATGTGGACATTCAGATTTCTCCCTCTTCTAACCTTCTCCTGCTCTTGGGTCAAGGTTAGGTCTCGACTTCTTGGACTCAGACATTGACACTTGCTCTCATGTACAGCTTCTCCTTTGCTTCCACAGGACTGAGTGTCATGATGGTAGTTAGCTCCCCTTGACCTCTGATCTCTGAGCATGGTTAGCATGAACCCTCCTGTCCCACCTGATGCCAGAAGACTGCCATTCAGCCTCTCCAGGACATTCCCACCTCACTCTTCCTCCTTCATTTTGAACCAGGCACTTCATGTCCAGCCTGCCTTCTCTGGTTCCTTCTTAGTTCAGGGCTGAATTTGTCCAGGGACCTGAGCAGCCAGGTACCTGGGAGGAAGACCCTGGCTGCTGGCACCACTGGGGGAGAAGCCCATGTAGAGAATAGAAGGTGGTGTCACACTACAAACAGACCTCAGTCTATGGTTTGAGTCCATAGGCTAGGAATGGCTGGGGGATGGCCATTCAGGGTGCAAGGCACCACCATGTGGCACTGCTGCTTATTTCAGGCTCTGTCTTGATATTTAGAAGATTCAATTATGAGGAGTATTAACCCTTGAATAGAATGTAGGCCTATTCTTTTATCCCAAAGATGTGAATTTCTCTAGCTGAACTACCAGGGAGTTCTAAGATCAGTTACATGGAACCAATGGGCAATTGTGTGACATGAGAAGGTCCCATGAACAAAGCCACTTGGAGTGAGTGGGCTGCATCTGGCCAGGCAGATATCATCTTCTACCTCAGAAGGGACGTTTTCCTTTTCTTTTCCCATCCCTCCATCACCTTTTAAGGAAAGACAGACACTATATCCAACTTTGTGAACTTTATGCAGGAGGGAGAAAAGACAAAGAGGCTTAGATAATAGATATTAGGAGAGATATACATGGATAGGTTGGGTGACAGGAAGGAAGTGTGCTAGGCTGAATAATGGCTCAACCAATGTACACATCCTTGACCTGGGAGAACTATGATGATATTCTCTATTATCACATGGGCACATTGTTATCACAAAGGTCCTTATGATAGAGATTGGATATAAAGATAGAAGTAGAGAGAGTCAAAGGTGTTGCAGGATTTGAATATTGACCATAGATCATGAAGTCCAGCAAGGCAGCTCTAGATAATGGAAATGACAAAAGGGTGAGGCACACCAATGGCCGTGGATGTGCAGTGACAGCACCATTATCTTGGTTGCAACTCAAGGCAACCCATGTTAGAACTCTGTTATTCAGGACCATAAGTAACTAGATTTCTGTCATACAAAGCCATTGAGGTTGTTCTCACTTTTTATAGCAGCAGTAAGAAACTCATAGATGGACAGACAAGCAGCACAAGTAAGGTAAAGGAACAGACAAGGAAATGGATATGCAGCTTATCAGGGGACAAAGATATAGGCAGGTGGGAGACACATAGAAAAAAAGCAGGAAGGGAGCCTAGAGTAAGATGAGACAAAGAGGCAAGAGAACAAGCCGGTGGGAAGAAGGGCAGGTGGAAAAATGGAAAGCAGTTTTGGGGCAATGGAAGGTGCACAGGAACAGGTGACAGAAACTCAAAATTTCAAGCAGCTAGCCCAAAGACGACTTCTCTTCCACCAGAATTATTGGAGCTTCCTGAGATGCAGGTGGATTCCATTCTTGGACTTCAACACAATTAGTGCCATGGGTACAGGGACCCTGGTGGGATCTGGCAGTAGCTCAAAACGAAGCAGAGTCAGGGCCACGGCCACTTTCAGCTCATTCATGGCAAATTGTTTCCCAATGCAGTTCCTGAACCAGGCAGGGACAAAGAAAGTGGTCTCAGGCCCCACTCTGGGCTGGGGAGGCCTTGAGCCCTGAGCTCCTGATAAGAACGAAGATTCAGAAACCTCCTTTAATTAGAGGTGGCATACAGCTCTGCTTCTAGCCTGGATTCACACTCTCCTGCCCTTTGTCAAGGCCCCTACTCGTCTATGGAAAGCTCTGACTCCACTTCTACATTCATAGACATGAAATCTCTGCTAAGGTAAGGTAAGGCTAGCACACTGAACAATCAACTCTAATAACACTTTCCATTTTAAGAATAAGTCATTGGCTGGTTGAGTCTCTCTACTGATGATTTCTGGTTCATCCGTGTGGTTATCACTAGTCTGGGCTGCATGGGAATGTGTGGGCCACACTCCCTGGGATCATATCTCTGGTGTCAAAGGATTCTGATGGTGGAATCAAATGTCAGAGTCATCTGATTAGGACATTGTGCTGGGGATCTGTAACCTCCAACCCCATCTGCCTCCCACCCAGGGGTCAGGCTCCAGCCTCCCCTCACACCCTTGGTCCACCAGCATCTCTAGACTTCTACTCCAGAAATATCCCTCTTGCCATCTTCAGTCTCTTCTTCCAGGCTTCGCTGGTCTCCCTGACTCCCCTCCCTCCTTACTCCCATGCCCTCTACCAGTAAGGGCAGTATCCAAGGCCTCACCTCCCTGCTCACCCTCTGTGGGCTACTGCCTCAGCCACCTCTCACCTGTCCAGCCCCACTTCCTGCTTCCGCTCATATTCTTGAGGTTGCTGAGGATGTCCTCCTTCTACTCTGCCTGAACATCCTCAAGGCTCAGGACAATGGCCAGATGACCCTTAACCCTCTCCTGGCTGTTCTTCTCTCTTCCAAGCCCCCAAGATACCATTAGAGTTTTTATTCAAGTAGCCACCACAATTAATGGCCTCCAACAGTGCCAGGGACAAAGAAACTTGCATCAATGTTCAATGAGTGATGAGAAAGTGAAAAAATTATGGAAATAGTGATGTCTATCTCAATTGTAAGTGTCTGAGCCAAGAGCAGAAACCTGCCTCAGAGCACAGGACTTGACACAGAGAAACATATTTTTTAATACATTTGTATTTGACTCAGATATGTTGAACTACAAAAATAAAAATGAAATGCAATGGAACATAGAATGTAAACCTTTCTACCTAAAAATTGAGCTACTTAATGCTGTCCTGCCCTACAATGTCAGTGTCATGATTTGTAGCTAGTTACCAATTCCAGGATAAATTTTATCTGAGAAATATGATTTCTCCATGGACAGTCTTAATGCCTGTTCTTCAAAACTTGACTACGCTTGTAACATTCACAGTATTTTTGACCCAGAAAAACCTTTCTACTGATTATTTAGTAGGTTTATGTCAATGTGTATTTCAAAGGCTGATTCCCATAACATTGCTGGGCTTTCACCGTAGCCCCTATGGTGTGGGACTATCCAGCTCAAAAGCTACTGCGGGTGAGTTTGTAAGTGTACATGACAGTATGTGCTTTGCGTCAAGTTAGTAGTGAGTTTTCTCTTGGAGGCATTTAGCTTCCTCATCCTATACCATGAACTATGGGTAGAGATCATTCTCTACATGTAGATTTTTGATGACTGGTCAGATAGAAACTGAATGTGACAATTAATATGAGACCACAAATTGGAGATCAGGCGCCCAAACTGCATGAAATCACAATCTCTGTTATCCACCCTTCTACAACAGGCTGCAAACTTTACACAGATGGTTTTATAAAAGAACGACGAGGTTTTTATACTTCTAAATATTTGGAAATATTTCAAAATTCTTCAGTGGCCACTGAGGAATTAAGCAGAAAATGGGATGATCTCATTCAAATGAAGAAAAAGAAATCCACCTCTTAAAACCTTACAATTGAGGAAAACAAACGCCCAAAGGATAGTTTGCATATGGAAATCTGATTCTAAAAATTCATTCTCCAAAATGAATAAAACACCAAGATAAAATGACACTTGGGCTAAAACTTCTGTGTATTTTGGGGGTGGGCCATTGGAAAGAGCTGTTGGTCAAACTCTCCACAGTATGTCCTGTGTTTGGGGCACAGACACAGATGCACAACACCTTCTACCCACAAAAACCAACCAACAAGGGCCTCCATGAAGAAGCCACATAGAAAACTAGGGGATCACAAACATTGGGTATGTGTCAGAGAATTCCTGTTCTCCCCGCCCCATTGCCACTTAGAGGACATCTCACCTTGATCCTCCTGAGAAGGGCAGGAAGGAGTGGCTGTGTCGAGGAGATCCAGGTGCAAATCGAGAAGGATCAAACACCTGCAGAGAGAGCAGCAAGGCCAGGACAAATTGGGATCAAGTCCCTGCTTTCCAGCCACAGAGGGGACAGGATCCACAGAGGTGGAAGAAGGAGGATGTGTTGGTCTTAACAGATCATCCCCTTCCCCACCCCCACAAGGCCTCATACCTCTGGGTTTGGCCACACCTTTGGGTTGTGGTGAAGGCCATAAATGGAGAGTGTGACCATAATACCTGTGGGACAGTCAGGAGACAGAAAAAAAGATTATTTATTCCAGTGACCCAGAACTCTGTCTGTGAAACAGCAGGACACCTGCACACATGAGTTGTATGCGTCCCAGATATCATCACTTTGAGCAGGATGATTTTACCTCAGGAAGGTAGCGTTGGCATGGCAAAGCATCTGAGTGAAGGTGAGGAACAGAAAACTGTGAGCCCAGGAATAAGACCAAGAAAATATCGGAGACTCACTGCTTATACTAAATGAATACTATCCATCTAGTACCTTCCATGAAACAGTGGAAAGTATACATGAACTCACTCGACCCCTCACAAGCACCCTTCAGAATACACAGGTTTACACCCATTTTCTTATGAGATACTGGAGTTTCAGTGAGGTTGCTTAACTTTTTTATATTCACACAGCTGCATGTAGTAGAGCAAGGATCAGACTCAATGCTGGGTGAGCCAATGGGTGGCTTCCTAACAGGGTAGAAATATCAGCTTCTCCTTTCTATCAACCAGAAAATCCTTAATTCTGGGCCACATTGACCTGTAACATGGGTTTTCATGATCTCCTTCATTTGCTTTGAGGCATTAAAAAAAATAAAAACCACAACTCATTGACCCTGTATGATTATCTCTCTACCCTGCTCTTCTCAAGTACTGATCATCACAAGTATAATATCTGAAGGTTGATATTGAATCCATAAGTTGGCATTTTTTAGTTGAGATTTTTCTGATTTCAAGCTCTCTGTCCAGCATTTCATAAGAGTCATCCAAATTTCAGAGTAACTATCTTTTCTCTTTTTTTTTTAACTTTTTTTTGAGAATTTTAATATTTATTTTTTAGTTTCGGCAGACACAACATCTTTGTATGTGGTGCTGAGGATCGAACCCGGGCCGCAGGCATGCCAGGCGAGCGCACTACTGCTTGAGCCACATCCCCAGCCCTGAGTAACTATCTGTTCTACAAAGGAAGAAAAGGAGTCTGAGAGGGGCTCATAAAATCTAAAGAACATGTGGATCTTTGGTCCACCTTTCCCTAGGGAGAGATTAGGTGAGTATAGAAAGGTCATACCTTTGGGTAAAGAGCGTCCATCAGGGAAAGTGATAGGTTTGCTGAGATCTCTGCTCACACCTGCGACTGGTGAATAGATCCTCAGGGCCTCCTTGATGCACATGGTGGTGTAGGTCATCTGGTCCAGGTGGTCCCTGAAGTGAAGGCCATCCTGAGGGGCAGGCAGGGCCCAGGAAGACCAGCACCTTGCCCCTACCAGAGGCAGGGCTCTCCCACCTCTTGAGCTCTCACTCACCAGGTGATGGAGGCTCCGTCCCCCAGGAGGCTCTGGACCTCCTCCCTGCACTTCTGCTGATG